TTGCAAATGCTGCATATGCATATACATATATATGCATAATTTATACACATCTTTGATGCTATAATAACTGTTAGAGTCACAGTTATACCTTGCTTGGTACTTTAATAAAGAAATATATATCCCCATGTAATATTTTTAATATTTTGATGATTATTTGTCACTGTAATTTCTTTGTGTTTATGTATATTTTGGTTTGTATACTTAAATGTATGAACCTCAAAGAGGTTGGTAAGTTTCCTGACTAAAAATAGTGTCCTTGATACATAAAAGATTAAGAACACATACCCTACTATAGGGGTTCTCAAACTTTAGCATGCATCTGAACTACCTGAGGGTTTTATTAAATCACAATTTGTTGTGTCATACTCTGGATTTTTTGATTTAGTAGGTTTGAGGTATGGTTTTGGAATATGCATTTTGCTATGATATTACCTGTTTGGTGCAAAGAGTACACATTGTGTGACACTGACTAGATTACCCTGAATTCCAGTGTCGGAAACTGAGACCAGTGGTCCTAGTGTATAATCAGGTGATAGATACACCAAGGAGGTGAGACATCCAGGAGTGGGAATAACCAAGTGATATATCTTGGAGCTCAAGTGGATGCAACACTTGCTGTCCCTCCCTTGCCCACAGCAGACAGTTACATAATTACCACTGCATTTTCAGAAGCATTCATAGACAAAATGCATGCCAAAAATTAATCTCAGAAAGTTATCAAAGTATTGCAGCTTGTTATCATTTGGTCCTTAGTTGTTTTGAATTAATGCAATTCTAATTTTAAGACAAGAAAGAAATCAGAGTTATAATTTGCACTTTAGTTAAATGATAGCCTTTTAAGTTGAGTCACTTATATCCATAGTAACAATGCTAAGAATAAACTAAAAGAGTGTTGTTGGTGCTGAAGTTGTAAATTAAAAATAAAAGAAAATAGGGGGTATATGTTCTTGTATAAAGACAGAAAGGAGCCATGGAAAATCAAAGATAGTAACTATATTTTTCTACTATTTCTCATGTCCTGTCTTAATGTTTGTGTGCTAGGATGCGATAAGACTCTACACAACAAAATTTGGGATAACATTTATAGAAAATATGGGCCAAGAATAGGAGTTCTATTACCTACCATGTTGCTGGTTTTATTTTCAGGTCACGTAGACACAAAGGTAAACTGTATTCATTGTAGTGTAAGCCTAGGAATTTATGCAGTTTTGCTATATTTATTTGAAAGACTTAAAAAAAAAGTATTTCACAGTTCAGGGCTGGGGTAATTGCTCAGTGGTATAAGCACCTGAGTGGCAAGTGAAAGGGCCTGAGTTCTATCCCTGGTACCCGAAAAATAAAGCAAACAACAACAATAACCAAAATAAACAAAACAAAACAAAAGAACACATTTCAATCTTCTCCCACAATATGTTTAAAACAGTTCTACCAACAAAGATCATTGAAATAATTGCATTTCAATTCTGCTTCTAAGATGATCATATTGATGTTTTAATTATAAAATGAAGATATCTTGCATAGGACAAATAAGGATTTAAAAATTAACAGCAACTACTCATAAAATTCTTATTGGGATACAAAAATTTAGCACTATTTTTATATTTTTTAGTGCTTTTAACAGTTTTTAAGGTTCTATAGAGCTGATGACTTCGAGTTTTTAATGTCTTAGCAAAGCACCCCCACTGTATCACTCAGGTTTTAGGTTAGTATCAGCGGAGTGCTCCTTCTTAAATTATCATGGAAACCACTAGTCTGAGTTTCTATAGCATTTATCCATGCATAAGCATAAAACATTGCTTTCATATTTTGAATGAATGTATAAAATGTTAATCAAAATACTTTTTGCTTTTTATGTACTCTGTAAATGGCAGGGAATTAAAATGTTTAATATAAAAAGTAAAAATTGATAAAATCTGCTGCCTATGATTTACTAGAATCTGTGGAGAACCACATTTTGTACTCTGCCTGCATAAATAATCTTGAGAGACTACAGTGACTTTTTAATAAATTGACACTTAAATTACTTTCCACTGTACCAAACACACATCACTTAGGCTCTGTAAGCTTTCTCTCAGTTACCATGTGCCAGTCTAGACAAATTCTCATTAAGACACTTTCTTTCAATTATTGGAGCACTATGGAGACTATTTAAAAGGCAACCATAGGTCTAAAGATTAAAGTCTTTGAACAAATTACTTGACTCATTTCAGAAGACAGTAAAAACTTGCCTTCATCAAAAACATTTATATAAGGCAGTAGGATGCGCTTCTTGTTTTATGTGCACTAAAGTTCTAGTTTTTTGTCCCAACTCCAGTTGGAAGCAGTAATTCTTAGGAAGTGAGACCAGTTAACTACAGAGTAAAATCTCACTGGGAAAAAGAAAAACGTGAAGATAAGTGCTACACAGTTGTGCACCTGACTTTGTTACACTTGGCCTGGACCATTTTCCCAAACCCTGATATGCTCAAATGGTGTCAGCTTTTCTCGTAGCACATTACATTTGTCACATAAAATTCAATATATATATATATATATATATATATATATATATATATATATCTCCCCCACATAAGCATTTAAAGAAAAAATAATAATAGCTTGATCATTCATGAGCCAAATATAATATCATTGTCAATAATTGTATTTCTGACCCAGGAATAATCAAAATGTATTTATGCTTTGTGCCATTTGACGTAACAAAAATATGTGATGTCTTACCATTTCATTCTGTCTTGCAGTTATAGGAAATAGCAGTAGGCATCCTTGAACGTATTTCATTCAAATTTATTTAAAATTTTTTATCAAAGAGGTTTATCATTGTAACTTTTCTTTATAAATAAATGACTCATCTGAAAGACCGCATATGCAATCTGTAGGAAGCGGCTTAGCTAAGATTCACACGGTCATAATGGCAAAGCTCCTGTATTATAGTGGTAAAGTGATACTTAGGAAGATGATAAATTGGAACACGAAGATCCAGGGCAATGAAAGTCTAGCTATACAGAACATTCTGATGCACCATTTTGAAAATGAGGTGAAGTTAGCAATCTCCTTGGTTTACTCTGTATAAACTCAGTTTATAAAAAGCCTCTTAGCATTACCAACAACTTTGATTGTAGATTCAAACAACTTCCTCAAGTGTCACTTTTCTGAATTGGCTATTGAACTAAAGGCATTGTCAATAGTCAAAAAGTAGGGGCCAGGGAGATGGCTCCATGGAATAAGCGCTTCCCTGGCAAGCACAAGGGCCTGAATTCAATTCCCAGTTCTGCCAAAAAAAAAAAAAAAAAGTAAAAAACTGGAATCAATACTACTTACTTGGCAGTTCAACGTAAGTGAAAATAAGCAACTGCCAATCTCAGTGTTTTCTTAACTATCAGTAAACAATCTTCCTCCTATACCCATGTTCTTACAGGTTTCATCTCAAATTACATATCGAAAAGGTTTTCATTAGAATGAAGTATATAATGTATAACAAAAATGATTACATACTGACATGAGTACACCTGAAGTATAGGAAGTTTCTAAAACACAGAAATCAAATTGATAGTATATAATTCTTAGTAGTATTGACTTCCTTCCTTTGCTCTTGGAAGTAACTGGCTTCCTAATGAGACTGTCATGATTTGGGTGTGGTTTGAAGCTAGACACTTTCCATTCTGAATACACAGAATGTGGATCTGTAAGGGAAAACGGAGAGGTTCACTTCAGTTGCAAGGAGTGGTGAGAGACGGTGAAAGCTTTAAGAGGTGAAGAGCACTTGCAAGTCTTTAGGCAGTAGGGGGCCCCTCCCCAAAGGGATGGTGGAACCTTGTCATATTTCTTTCTTCCCTTTATGTCCCCATGTCATAAGGTGACCAGTTTTGCTGCACATCATGCTTCTGCCATGTTGTGCCTCACCACGGCCTGAAACTATGGACGCTCACAAGTGAGCCAATGTAAGCTTCTCTTTAGACGCTAGTTGTCTGAGGATGTGACACAGGAATGGAAAGCAAGCATAGTAAGTCTTTATCTTTAGGGATCTCACAGTTTAGTATAATAGACAAACTGGTAAATAACAGTACTATCAGTGATGAAAATAACTAGATGAAATTCCATATGGCTGTGACTCTCCACATCTTCAAAGACCAGAGAGCTGTGTTAAAATTGAAAGAGTCTAAAACATAAAAGAAGTAAGCATTTTCTATTATTTCCATGGTTACTTTTGAGACTGTTGAGAAAGAAAACAGTATGTGAAATTTAGACATTGTCTCTGTTACTTTTCAGCTTTCTGAGAAAACTCACCCAGCACTCAAAGTTAGAGCAAAATTTATTTCATCCTATACTGTGAAGGGATTTCAGTCCACACTCAGTTGGTTCCAAGGCAGGGTGGAGCATGGCAAAGGGGCATCATAGAGAAGACAGCTCATATGGCATCAAGGAACAGAGAGGGGTCAAAGGAGAGGAGGGCGTTACTCTTCCAGGCCACGCCCCCAGTGACTCTTCTCCTCCAAGAAGGCCTCACCTCCCTAAATCACAGTTAGCTATAAACTCATCAGTGGACTAATGCACTGATGGGTATCTCGACCCCTTGATCCAAGCACCTCCCCAAAGTCCCTCTATGAGCACATAAGACTATGGAGGACATCTAGGAAGAACCATAGCAGCAGCATTTATACAAAGAATATCAACAGTAGGAATTTGAGGATAAAGTTCATCATGACTTTTGTTTTCTTCCTTGTTACTTTCTATATCTGTCATTTATATATTGTAAATAAACCCAATTTGGTGTCATTTAAAACAAGAGAGTTTCTTTTGCAAATGAGAAGGAAAGCAAGAGATGGAGCAAGGAAGGGGAAAGGAGGGGGGAAAGGGATGTATAAAGAATGAAGATCTTCAGGGTACATATTCCAGCTTCCTGTGAGGCATGTACTCATGGTACAGTGCCAACATGTAGTAATAAAAATAAAAATGTAAAAGAAAGAAAATTTCGTAAAAGAAAATTGAGTAGAACTACTTACCCTAAGCCCATCAACTGACAAACTTCATTTGAAGTCTGGGTGGTCCAGTTCTCCGCACAAGCTGCGTACCAAATGCTCTGAATTCTGAACTGCACCAAGCCATTGTTCTCCGTGGTGCCATTGAGAAGGCGCACTAGAGAGTCAGGAGCAGGAGACGGTTAACAGACTGCAGCGTGGGGAGGACGAGGTCTTACTTAAAGGCACAAGATTTCATTTCAACAAGAGGAATAACTTCACTGCTTCTGCTGAGCAGCACAGTGTCACTAGTTAATGACAGTATTAAATCGTGTAAATTTCTAACTTGCTAAGAACATAAATTTCAAAAGAACTGATAAGAAACTTGCATTTATGGACAGATATCTAATTTAAGCATTCCACATTGTATACAAACATTATACTATCAGTTTATATCCCATATATGTACATAACTATAATTTTAAATTTAAACTTATAATTTTACATTTGTTTACATTTAAATGAAATTTAAGAGGTAACTGCATTAAAGATACTAGATCCTACTGAGGATCATTTTCAGGTAAGTTGATAAAAGTAAGGGACAATCTTTAACAGAATGTGCAATGTACTTAGTATTTAGAGTATAATGACTGTAGTTTTTCTTCAGGGTGTGTTGGAAGATATAAGTTCAAAAAGTAAATTGAGTAGATTTAATTTTGATTTTTCATATAAGTTCAATAACATAAGAGATAAGATAATTTGTTGTATATCAACACAGCAAATGACAGAAAATAAAGTTATTTGCTGAGTTATTGTTATTTATAAATAACAATAACTCAGCACATAACTGAGTCTACCAGAGGAAGAAAATAACTTTTTAAATATTTTTTTAAACGTATTTTGTACAGGGTCTCACTATGCAGCTTGGACTCATAGTGAATCTCCTGTTTTTAGCCTCTCCAGTACTAGGATTACAGGCGCGTGTCATCAGGCCCAGACTTGGTGGCTGGCTTGGCATGCCCGGGCCAGTTCCAGCGTGGCATGTAGTGCCAGGGATCGAACCCTGGTCCCTGCTCTTGTCTAAGCAGGGGCTTAGTCTTCTGATCTATCTTGCTGGCCCCAGAAAACAACTTTTTAAAATGAAAACAATTTAAATCAGAAAAAACGATGAACTTTTATTTATTTCTTCAGTTATTCTTTTTGCTATTGGTTTCCCACAGGCTTACAAACATTTGGGATAGATTACTTAGGCTATTTGTCCCTAGGTAGTAAAATTAGCAAAGTAAGCTGGGTTATCAAACAAGGAAAACATCTGGAATGGCAGTCAAGTTACCTACAACTATAATTATTGTTTACATTTTAGCCTTTTTATGAAAAGACTTAGGTCACTGGCTAGAAATAGAAAGTCATAGTTCCAGAATTGCTTCAGCCCTTATTAGGTGTGTGATCCTTCAGAGTTGAATGTCTCTAAAATGCAATTTCTTCATGACCAAAATAGAGCTAATTCTGTTATGGAATTGATTTATAGCATTTAATTACACTTCATGACACATATGTAAGCCGTGGAATTTTTTAACAGAAATAAGCAAAAATAACAATAAAACAGAGTTTCAAAGTAGGATAGGAGGAGTGTAACAAAAATTAATATATTGTATATTGTTATTTTCATAATAGTTGTTCAGGGTACAAGATACAGTCATGAAATATTGTCCAAAAAGTATTAACATAAAACTCTCTTTTCAATGAACTAAGACACCATTCTTTATTTTCCTCTCTCTCCCATTACAGTTTTTTCATTTTTCTTTTGAACAGTTTCTTCCTTATTACACTATCTATTGTACAATTCAGGTCTTTCAATTTCTTACACTAACACGACAATCCAATATTTGCACATGTGGTTCTGATTTATTTCACTTATGAGTATGGTTTTGAGTTGCACCCATTTACCTATTAATTTTCCAATTTATCTTTCATATGGATATGTAGTATCCTATTAGGTAAAACACACACACACACACACACACACACACACACACACACACACACCATTATCCATTCCTCAGTTGAGGGACATTTAGGTTGTTTCCAAGATTTAGCTGTTACAAATTGTGCTTCTATAAACATGGGTGCACATACATAGCTGTGGTATGTTTTTAATTCTTCTGGGAAGATACCCAGGAGAAAAGCTGGATCAAATGGGACCTCTCATCCTAGTTTTTAAAAGAATCTCCACACTGATTTGCACAAGTCTACACTCCCACCAGCAGTGGAGAAGGGTTCCTTTTTTCATCACAGCCTCTTTAGCATTTATCATCAGTTGGTTTTTTTAATGTATTTAGTACAGGGCCTACAGGGCTTACAAGATCTCATTACACAGGTTGGACTCATACTGATTCTCCTGTTCTTAGCCTCTCAAGTGCTAGGATTCTAGACATGCACCATCACACCCAGTCTCAGTCACCCTCTCATTGCACCCCAGGGGCAAGGCTGTCACAGCACACTGGGGATCAAACTCGGTCACTGAAACTGCCTAAACAGGCGCTTTAATCTGCTGAGCAATCTGGCAGGCCCTATCAGTTGATTTTTTGATAATGCGATTCTTTTTGGAGTGAGATGAAAACTCAGCACTGGTTTAATTTGTTCTATTTCAAATAAAAATGATATTAAACATTATTTTGGATATTATTTAGAACTAAAAAATAAGACATTTTACTATAGTAAAATAGTGTATTTATCATATTGTTGTAGGAATCGGAAAGGAAGCATGAATGAAAAACAGCAAGGCAGGGGGAGTAGGAAATTTTGAAGAAGCAAGAAAGGAAAGGACCAAGTCTAAAGAAGACAATTATAGATAAGCATGCTGGTGGCTCTGCCTGTAGGCAGTCGGCAGAACACAGTAGTCAGTTTGACTGGTGCCACAATATCAGCTCTGAGCTTTTGTCTTTTTTTGTGGAGCCGGGGATTGAACTCAGACCCTTGCACTTGTCAGGCAAACCCTTATTCTACTGAGCTATCTCCCCAGCCCCTGAGCTTTTGTCTTCAATAGTAGTTTAAGTTTACTTTCTGAATATTGGTTATCTTAGAGTTAAATTTATTAAATGTAGCCAATTTTAGACAAATCAACAAAACTCAGAACCTAAACATTAACTTTTCTTCTAACTAGAAAGGTGCAAAAGTGCTGAAATCACTGAGATGTTCACACTCAAAATATCACAACACTTTATTATTAACACACAAATAACCTTTGTTTCACAAATTTGTGGAACCCAACAGTTGAGGCTAAAGAAGTGCAAGTATTTTTGTAAAAGTAAGACGTACCACAATGAGCTTCATCTGAGCCGTCCTGACAATGTGGGTGGTGGTCGCACAGAAGCTCCAGTGGAATACACTCTCCATTTTCACACTGAAACTCATCTTCCTTGCAAGCCTCTGTGGGGAAAGAAAGTTTCTTGTATAAGATAACTAGAATATAAATGATGATTTTAGAGCACCCTTTCCACTTAAGTGGCTTTCAACATCATCACTTAGCTTGAGCCCTGAGTGGAACAAGCTTTAATTCTGAATACACCAAGCACTGTGTTACTCAGAATTCCAGAAATAGTGTCGAACTACACATGTGTCTTCAAAAAAGAAGTAGATGAAGCCTCAGGTATCCACTTTGTAGAAGTATTTGAGGATGCTCCTAGAGGTGGCTGACAGGCTTGGAATACACATGCCCTCATAATCTCTGTTAGATTCTCTTTGAGAACGTCTTCACTCCAAAATAGCATACAAGGAGCAACCTTCACACAAGCATCACCATCTAAATGACACTGTCAATTGCTTATTATATTAAAATGTAAATATTGTCTTTTGGTAGAAGCAAGTTAGATTGGTCTAGAGACAATGGGTTCAATTAAATCATTTAATTAAATCGTTGAGTCATTTCAATTAAATATAGAAAATGGAAATCATAAAAAATGGAAAACCCACAATGTCAGCAATGCAAAAAGAAGTTGAAGATGGAGCTGCAAACAAATCAAGCAATGCTGGAAGGGATAGGAATGTGCTTGACTTCTTGGAGAAATAGACAATGAACAAGTTGGGCGAACAAGGAACTGGGTAGATTTAGAACTAGTAAATGTGAGTTGCACAGAAACAGGCCCTACTAGAAGTAGTACTCATTAGAGGAAGGAGATACACTGCTTTCTGGTACTGTTTTGTCTTAAAAATGTTTTGCCCTGAGGTTGCCTTCATAGTGCTGGGAGAGAGGATTTTGCTGTGTTCCAGGTGTTTTCCCATCATGTCTTATTAGAGATATCAGGGATTGTGCTAAGAATTGTGTGGGAGTTGGATTTCCAGAGAATGGTGCTGTATTTATTATGGAAAAGCTTAATCCTACCTCCTAACTTGAACATTAAAGAAGAAGAACTTAACATGCGTAAGGAGCAGAGAACACCTGCTTTATTGTGGTCAAGGTGAGGTATCATAATTCAAGTTACAAGGATATTGCGAAGAAATTTAATAACTTCCATGGACTATTATTATGATAACAAAATGTTACAGTGCTTGAAAGGAATTATTTCCATTCTCCTCTGAAGAGAAATATTAAGCATTATTTTTCTCTAAAGAGATGTATTAAATTTTATCATATTACACTTAAAAAAACAACAAATATTCATTCTTAAGTGACCCAGTGAATAGCAACCTTGATCTCCTACTCCCAGCTGTTTTCTAAAAAATAAGGAATCCAGGTGTGGTGGTGCACACTTGTAATCCCAGCACTTGGAGACTGAGGCAATAGGACCACCAAGGGTGTGTGGTCAGCTTGGGCTACATAGTGAGTTCAGTGCTGATCTGAGCTATGTGGTCAGCCCATGGCTCAAAAAGCTGAAGAGTAAAATAAAATCACTTAAAGATACAAAGAAAAGATTAGTGTATTTTCATAAAGGTGAAGACAAAAAGACTGACTAGAATCCTTGGAGAGTGTTAATGTAGGGGCCAAAAAGCATAGTGCCGCTCAGCAAACGCAGTGGTGGATGCCCTGAGGGAAGTGGGTCTTACTGTGCCCGCTGGAAGTGAGGCCAGCTTCCCTCTTCCCAGCTACGAGTTTATTATACTGCAGAATCCATGGGCAATGGCAAGCAGCAGCTGTGTCCTACTAGAGAGCTAGCTTCTGGGTAGGAGCCATGTTGACCGAAAGAAAATTACACTGGTGATAGATGTCTCCTGATTATCTTTCCGCACTGGAGCACTGGGTCAATAGGAGGAGTAGAGAGCAAAAAGTGACAGAATTCCACCTTCTCTAACGTAAGTGATTGGACCAAGGCTTGTGCCTTAGCTGAGCAGATAACCACAGCTTCTTCAAATAATATGAAAATTTTGATGCTACCTTGATTGTACATTTTATTTAAAATTAAGTCATAGTTATCTGATTAAGATAAGTTAATATTTGGAGTGACTAGAAAAGTGACTAGATTTGTTTTTTCTTTTGTTTTGTTTTGTTTTGTTTTGTTTTGTTTTGTTTTGTTTTGTTTGTTTTTGGCAGAATTGGAGATTGAACTCAGACCCTTGCTCTTGCCAAGCAAGCGCTTATTCTACTGAGTCATCTCCCAGGCTGAAAATCTCTTACACATGTTGAAATTTTTTTTTAAGTGACTGGATTTGTGCAAAATATCCAATTACAAAAAGATTTGAAATAAAATAGATGAAGTAAAGGTTTCTTTAATCTGTAATCAAGCATGGCCATAATACACCGGGAATATCATCTAATTTGTCAAACTTCCTCATTGTTATATCACTGGGGCTTGACAGAATGGCGCAGAATAGGAAACCAGCAGGTATTTGTTAAAATTAACTAAATTAATATTTATTAAATGATTATAATCTTACAAAAATGAACATAAATATAAATAATAGAGGACATAATATAAAACACTTTTTAAAAAGTATGACTTCAGACTGGGCATGGTAGCACGTGCCTGTAACCTAGCACGTGGGAGGCTGAAAACATGAGGATCACTACAAGTCAGATCTGTGTAGTGAGACCATGTAGACACTGTAGACCCTGTCCTAAAATACATTAAAAATGTATGATTTTAAAAAATACATGATCAAATTTACAGCAGTTGGTTGGTGCTAATTTTAGTGATTTGAAAAAGCAACAGATTGTATAAACTATGAGATACAATCTATATATTTAAATTAAATTTCAATAGTGTCTATAATATAGGCTGTGAAATTGTACGACATTGACATAAGCATTTAGTCACTTTTTGCTTTTTTCTTCCCTTGATCCAATAAATCAATCTTTTTGAGACTCAGTTTTCTTAATTGTCAAATGAGGACAAATGCTCCCTTTGTCTTACACATACAATGAGAGTAAATTAAAAATATGTATTTTAAGAGTGCCAGGGAGATAGCTCAGTAGAATAAGCACTTTCCTGGCAAGCACAGAGTCCTGAGTTCAATCCCCGGTACAGCAAAAAAAAAAAATGTATTTTAGCATACTAATATGTGCACAGTTAGTGCTCAATATACAATATTCTCAATAACAAAAATGGTAACATTTTAAAATGCCCCTTTTGACTGATTGTACTAACGTGTTTATTTCATGTGCAAAATGTACTACTTCTCCCTCCACATAATCAGATAAACAAGAAAAGATAGCTAAACTCTTACTCTTGTTTGTCTTACATCAATAAATAGAGCTATTTGTATATTTTAAACTTGGAAAATCTATATTGTTTCAACCCAAATCTAATTTATTTTAATAAAGTATTTTTAGGAAGACATGGTTGGTTGTTTCTATAAGCTTTCATAGAAAAGTAGATTACATATCTCAAAATATAATAATATTAGTGCCATTTTTGTAAATATAATTATCAATTTGTTTCATAACACAGCTGTTAACTATATTACTGAGATGACAAATGGATAAAGACAATTTCATGCTCTATAGGCAGTCAATATTTGTGATGAAAGATAAATGTTTATGCATCTAGAATTAATCTTTCTTTAGAAAACTAAAAAGCTTAAAACCAGACACAAATGTCTTTGTACATATATTCTAACATTAACATTTTGATATTTATTTTTAAATGTGAACAGCACTAGTTTTATATGCATAATCAAATATTTTAATATAACATGTTAGTCATCAGAAGTTATTTTTAAATTATCTCATTACTTTTTCTTAGCTTATTAAAATCATCATATAAAATTAGTTTTCAATGACAATAATTGAGTTTTATATGAATTTATTGCTAGTTTTTCTTTTTTATTAGCATAGTCAGTATTGGCTGGGCAGCTGCTCTATATTTAATTGAAGAAGCATAAGTCAGTTATATAGAAATAAATTTAGATATTTTGTGAGTAAAAATTTGAGAGAAAACATACATCATTTTCTTAAAATTATGGCTCAGATTTGTATTTTAGCCAAAGCTATTATGATTTGCCCTACAAATCCAGATAAAATAAGTTAATTCTGAAGGCTGAATGATTTGGATTGAAAAGAAAATGTTGACTGGGGCAAAAAATGTATTGTTGTGAAAGTAAATAGAAATTATAAAATCTGAGGAGAGTTGTAAATAGACTATTTCAAAGATTTTCCTGATATGAACAAAATTGATTTTGATTCTTTGCAACACATAGCAGTTCGGCTTCATTAAGAAGTCTCTAGTCCAACAATTTAATTCTCTCTGGGCATTGCAATTTTGTTTCTGATAGTTTTATGCCCATGGTGAGAGAGAAAGAAAGAACTATTGCTAAGAATTGAATTTCCCCATCCTCTTTTTATGAAGTCTCCTGCAGCCCTGCCTAATTTAGTAAACATATGCTTAGTTGAAAATGAAACTAAACTGATCTCCCCGGCACAGTGCCACACAAGCTGGGGAGGGCGCTAAACCCCTAAATGTGATCTGCTGCCACTTGCAAGTTGCCTGATCTGCACTATAAATTCCATATTAAGTCTATGAATATCAGAAAACAGCAATGCATGTATATTTCTAGGAGACCTACCTTAATAAATCCAGTTTTGTAAATAATCTAATGTAAATGGAAATTCTTTAAAAGGTTAAAAGACATAAAAATATATTATACAATTATGTTATATTTCAGTTGAATGCTTTGAAAGAGAGCCCTAAAATAATTTAGAAAATAAGTAATATATATATATGTATTGTAATATACATTATTGAGTATATACATATATATGCTCAGTAATATGTATACTGAAAACAACTTATGATACATTTTTTCTAAAATGATCTTCAAACCTGAAAAATCATATAAACCAACAAATCTATACGGGTGTGCAATGTGTCAGCCCGTTACCAGCTTGATTCCTTTCCACTGACAAGTTCATATTTCTGTCATTGCATTTCAATTGGAGGTAAAAGGGAGGAGGCAAAAAATTTCAATGGAAACAAAGTGTGCTGAGGAGAGCTCAGTCACCTTCTTACCCGCTGCCCAGCAACATCTGTCCCAGCTGGGAGATGGTGTGAAACCACACTTCTAGCATGGTCAGCAGACTGTGACAGTCTGGAAGTTTCCATTCTAGCTCCAATGAAAAAATATATATCTTACAGTAATGTATTCAATAAAAAAGAAATAGTAATTAAGTCTGGATACAACTTAAGTTAATATACATAACCACATCGAGGTGGAGTGATAGCTCCTTGGGCTAAGCACCTGCCTGGCAAGCACAAGGACCCGATTCAATCAGCGGTACTGTATGCTGTGATGGCCCTGGAACCCTGGGTGTGCAGTGCAGGCCACGGAAACCAGGCATGGTGGTGCATGCCTGCAATCCCAGTGAGGGGGAGGCTGAGACAGGAGGATCACTGAGTCTGAGCTGCGTAATAAGAGCCTATACCAAATAAATAAAAAGATTTTTTAAAGAAAGGAAAAGCAAAAGAGAGAATGAGAGAGAAAGAAAAAGAACAAAGGAAAGAAAGAAAGAGAAAAAAAGAAGAACCACATCATCTCTTTGAAGCTAAGAGCAAGAATATTCAATTTTGGGCATTATCTCATATAGAAAGTCTTTATATTATTTTTCATAATCTTTAATATTGTACTTTTTTACTTTAAAGAGAATACAAATAATAAAAGTATTAGAAATGATATAAAATTTCAAATAATAAGATGATAGGAATTCAACAATGGTTGTTATATTACATAAAATATAACAAAGTAGTTCTTCTGATAACCAATGTAAGCATGTAAAATTAGTCAAAAAATTAAACATTAACTTTTCCTTTCAAAAAACCCAAAAGAAATTGGTAGTACAATATCTCAGCTTTCTTATGTATGTGTCACAACATATTACAAAAATAATTTGTAAAAACAGTAACTGTGACACATTCAAAGAGAAATGTTTGTCTGTCTTCCTTTTCAAAATCCATTCTTCTCTTTTGATTTTTTTCCTGCCTTTTCATTTGCACTTTACAGTATTTATTTATTTATTTATTTATTTATTTATTTATTTATTTATTTGCAGAACCAGAGATTGAACTCAGGTCCTTGCTCTTGTCAGGGAAGTGCTTATTCTACTGAGCCATTTTCCTGGCCCCCTACAATATGAATTTAAACTCTTATTGCTTTACTAACATTTTGTTTCAAAATGCTTTCACTTTGCACAAAGTTCTTTATAATTATTTAAGTTGCTTGGGTATACGAATAATTCCACTCATTATTAGTTAGAATACAGCTTTTACTCTCAATTGCTTTGTCAGTTTTATTACTCATTTCCATTAAAAA